CCATGAATTTTCCCTCCTCAGCACATGTGCCCCATGTTTAATTTATGCACTAAGAAACGATGACAAACTACTGCTTATCTGTATGTTTCTCCCACGTATAGTTGCTCATGAGGACTCTTCTTCAAGTTTCATGCAGAGCTGAAAAGAACACACGTCCTTCATACAATTTTTTCGCTGACTGGCTTGTAGCTCAGTTCCTCTGCATTAATAAAAAGCGCAGATTCTGTAAGGCTTGCGGATTTCTGCGATGAGAACGGTGTGGCCACGAAAAAACCAACTGGACTATATCGTGATTGACACAAAAAAACTAAACCCCTTCAGCTGTATTCGTTTCTTCATAAGAGCTTTTAAAGTGAGCTGGAAAAGGCTCCTGATCTTATCGCAAAACCCAGGCTGGAACGCACCAGGCGGGCCCATGCATCATGTGTTTTTGTACTAGAGCTGAAGTGTTCAGGAGATTAACTGCATGAATGATTGCTGCTTTACACCTACTTTTTGCGGTCACTAACGTAAACCACCATAAATTTTGCATAAAGTAAGTATACAATTTCCATTTAACGGCCATTCTTTGAAAGTACCTAGCTGTTCAGTGAGAAATTTTTCCGCCAAAACTCTTAAGTGCCCGTACGTAAGGACCGCGCATACCTCAAGGCTGAATTTGAAATACTTAAGCTTAACTTTGACAGGAACATTACCCTAAAATTTCAGCTTTCTAGCATTTATGATTCCCGAGTTAGCAATTTTCCCGCCAAAGTTTCATACGCCCTTGCACAAGTACCACGTATAGCTCGGGGCTGAATTTGAAATATTTGAGTTGTACTTGGACAGGGAACAATACCTCAAAGTTTCAGCCTTCCAGTGTTTTTTGTTATCGAGTTAGTAATTTTGCCGCCAAAAATTTCACATGCTGGTACGTGGGTACTCCACCTGCCTGGGAAGCTGAATTTGAAATTTTTAAATTGCACGTAAACAGGGAACATCCCTTTAAAGTTTCAGCCTTCCAGCTTTTCTGGTTGCCGAGTTTACATTTCTCCCACCAATTCTTTCACGTGCTCGCATGTAGGAACCACGCATAACTGAAAGGTGGATTTGAAATATTTAGGTTGTACTTGGATGGGAGACATTACC